TACATGCTCTTAGGTGTTACCAACTGTTCACTTATATTGTACTTCAGCTATTTGGAGATGGCCATAATGCCTTGCTGGCGTTTCCTGCTTGACCATCCTGTGGATTGCCTTCAGCGTTTAGCTATGATGACAAGAGGGATCGCAGATCCATTGGCATCAGCCTATTGCCGCCTATATATGGTCCATCGTGCACAGAGACTACCTGAATGTGCCAGAGGTATTTTAGTTCGATTTTGTTTTGTATAAACACTGAGAAACATGCATGCATCGTTTTTTATCAGTGTGAATAAAGTATCTAACCAGAAGGATCTGGACCACTTTACAAGTAGGTACACCATATGATGTGTTTGACGCAAGAAAATGATAAAATTTATGCTAGATGTAATTGTTCTAATCTCCAAAAGGAAAGGGCTATTGCACGTGGGCTTTGTGGTTTTTTCATGTACCGGAGCAATGTCGGACACTGGCCACCAAGTCTACCCGACTGAGCCATGTTATATGACCCTACATTTCCATGCCCCATAATAGACTTCCCATCTATAAATGCATCTTTAGGCTGTTACTTTTGCTCCTTTCATTCCTCTAGTTGGGCTTGATATCTATGTTGTTGACAATTCTGCAGCAGGATATCTGAAAACGTGCATTAATGACCTAAAAGTTTTATTGATGCGGATTGTATCAGCAACAGAAATCACATACGGAAGGTTTTCAGGAAACAGAAGGTTGCTCATCAGCCTGATGGAACCAACTATTGAGTATCTTGTGAAGTGCATATTCAAGGATTCATCTCAGGTTAGTGATAGATTGACATTTGGTAATCATATTTCTTGGCTGGGATCAACATGTGGTTTGGTTATGCATGTCGTGTCCTCGTATATCGTGCTTTTGACAAGAAATTTATGTACCCACTAGATACTGAAGAAGATAAGAACATAGGCAGCAAATTTGTAGGGCTTGTTATTTGTTGCTTCATCATTTAAAGATAACATGTACAAGAGTAATAGAGCCAATGGAAACTATATAGTGTTTTGGACCTTCTTGAAATTGATTTATCTGACATGATTGTGATGGAACCAATTTGCTGCGGGTTAAATATGATCATTTCGATGTGGTTTGACGCAACATTACTATTTTGTGCAATTAGGAAAACTTCCCTTGTACTTGTTAAGTTGTCATTGACGTTGTACCCTAGTTTACCCTTATTTAAATTTCTAAAACTAGTAGTGAGATTGACATGTAGTTATAACAATTCTCTATAGTGTCTCCTGATGAAGAGAGTTGGAGGAATAGCGGTTTTTGCAAACCACAGCTACGGTGTTGATTCGGGTTGATTTATTTGAGAGAGATATAACGGCTGTTCTATTGCCTGCCAAGTTATTGATCAAGTTGTTACATAACTTCGATGTCAGATATTCTCATGAAGCTAGGCAATGGATTCACACTTTTCCTCGAAACTATTTTTGGGAAAATTTCATCCACACCTCCTGTAATGAGGTCCAAATTCAATAACACCCCTCCTGATTCTGAAACTTCACTGTTACCCCCTGTCAGTATTTGTCGGGTTACGGCGTTAACGGTAATTGTTAATTTATAGAAATATCCCTAAATATTTTATAAGGTAAATTTTGTCCACACCCATTGTAAATAGACATAACTTCAACGACACCCCTATAAATAGACCTATCTTTAACGATACCCCTCCCGATTCTAAAATTTCACTACACTCCCTTTTGGTTCTATTATATTAACATTTAGGTTCATCAATTTAATATTTAATTTTATCAAATTAATGTCATTTATTTAATTTAAACTAAATTAACATTCCATCTCATCAAATCAACACAAATTGATATTTAATTTTATCAAATTATCATTTAGTTATATTAATTTAATATTTTATTTCATCAAATTAATATTATTTCTTTAATTTAACATTAAATTATTATTTAATTTTATCAAATCAATACCAAATTGACATTTAAGTTTATTAAATTAAAATTTAATATATTAAATAGAATATTAAATTCTATTAATTTAACATTTAACCTTAACAAATTAATGTCACTTATTTAATTTAACACAAATGAACATTCAATTTCATTAAAACAATATTTAACTTTATTCAATTAATATTAAATTTTATCAAATCAACATTGAATATAAATATCAAATTAACACCAAATTAATATTTAAATTTATCAAATTAAGACCAAATTTATTCAATTATTATAAATTTTATCAAATAATATTTAAATTTTATATATGAAGGGTGATGTGTGAAGAGTGGTCGGAGGATGCTGTGGAGGACAAAATAATAGAGGAGTTAGAAATGTATGAGATTTTGACATAGACATCAATCTCTATATCTGTCTACACCACTAATAGTTGAAGAAGACAAAAAAAATTAAAACTTTTTGCATAAAAAAAATTAGAAAAAAACTGCATGATTTTTTTTTTTTTCAAATTGCATGAAAAAATTTAAAATATCTGCATGAAAAACATTTACAAATCTACAAGAAAAAAAATAAATTTTTTTTTTACCAACTTATGTAATGATCAATCACTATGGAGAATGAGTTGAAGGAGAAAGACCGATTTCAATCCCCTATGTATTTCGGCAACACCAGATCGTTTTTGACCTTCAGCAACAAGTCAACAACAAAGGGTATGATATATATAGTGGAAAAATGATTGAGGGTATTTTAATATATTTACATAAGAAATGGTAGTTTTGACATTTTCAAAAAATTTATAGTCAAGTCTTTATTTTTTGTACTGGCAGAGTTAAAAATTACCGTTAAGGGGGTGTCTTTGATTTGAAAGTATAAATCAGAAGGGAGTGCACTGAAGTTTTAAAACTGGGAGGGGGCGTCATTGAATTTAGACCTAACTAGAGTGGGCGTGAATGAAATTTTCCCTTGTTTTTTTAAGTCAGGCAATAAAAGGGTTTCCACAACGTGCTTAGTCCTCGTTGTAGTTGTCATGGGCATGTTGTTCACTGCATTTGTGGCAATTGCTTTCAGTTGTGTTTTGTGAAAATTTTTGGTTGGACATTCTTTGTGTGAGCATCCAAATGATACATGGAATGGGGCTGGAAAATAGTAAGCCGTGGTTGAGCATCCAACAATTTTGTTACCTCTTTTGATTTGTCTATCTTATTTTATTATTTTAACAAAATGTTCTCTATTTGTTTTTTTTTCCTTTTTCTTTTCCCAGTTTTGTTAGGTCTTGTTTGGGTAGCTATTACATGAATTAATTGTTTGTGGTGGTGCGCTGACTTTACAATCTCTACTAATCTAAGGGAAGACAGATATTGATGATGTACTTGTGGGGCTTGGACTATGGGAACGTCAGTCAGAGTTGTTTGGAAAATCCCCATGTATCTCAATTGTTCTTTATCATTTACTCAGAGAACTTCCCATTGAGGTAGTCAGTTCTACTGCTGTGGAGATACTTCATCTTATTGAGTGTAGTGACGATTGTTCCTTCGATCAGGTATTCTTCAAAACATCTGAATGCTAGATCATTAGATGAGTGTTAGTGTCAAGTGGCACTATTGATATTATATGTTTCCCTGTTTATTGCTCCCATCCCAAGCATTTTGACTTGTAAATGTGCAGTGTTTGAATTACAGGTTACTGGGTTTCAGGCTGTGTGAAAGTATGTCCCAAAGGAACGTAGTTGATGTGGTAATGGATAAAGTCCTTGAGGTATTTTAAATTTCTACTTGTGTTCTCTTTGTGCGCAAAATTTGATAACTTTCCTTGCAGGATTGCCAGGGGTGGCTTAAGGCAATTAGAGGCCTAAAATGAAAACACTAAATGAGTTTTTTTTTTTTTTAATATTAATTTTTAAAAAAATTAATTTATTTTCAATTTATTAAATGAGAGAAAAACCGAAGAAGGACGTGCTAGTGTTACTGAAAAAAATATTTTAACTTTTGTTTTTTTATCAGAAAGAGAGTTTAATTTTAACTTTTTTTTAATGTTTTGTACTAATTTTTACACAGAGAGAGAGCGAGTAGGAGTAAATATGAGTTGACTTTTGAGTACTTTTTATTTTTTCAACTTATGATTTTTAGATTTCTAATGTTATGAATTGAATCATAGACCCAAATTATCATAATAAAAATGTTGATGGTACTTAATATTTTGGGGCTTTTTTTTAAGGGTTTAAAATTTAAAAGATTTAATTTTTTTATGGGTTAGTAATGTACCTAAAAATTTGGGGCCTAAAGCCCATGCTTTTTTTTTAATGCTGTAAGACGGTCCTGAGGATTGCAGCTATGTATGCCTTTTATTTCTAAGGCTCACATTCCTTCCTGATGTAGATCCTATATCTGATTCCAAATTGTACAACCTTGTGTTTCCTTTAATATGCTTTGCGATACTTTTGCCTCTCTCATTCTTGCACTTTGTCAAGTAGGCCTTTTTTAAGGGTTTTTTGGGCTGGTGTGGTGGGGTGGGGGTTGGGGGAAAGGTTTAAAGGTTCGATAATTTTCATGCTGATGTGAGTTGTCATGTACCCTGCTATTAACCTAGAACATTTTCAAGAAGCTAGCCTACATATATTCTGATTGCTACTCCTGTATTTGAAATGTGGGAGAGATTTTTGTTAAGTGTTCAAAAATTGTGTTATCTAGTCTTTTGGCTGAATTACTGATTAATTTTTTGCAATGGCGAAAAAAGACATAGCTGTGAAATACATGACCAGAGAGTAAAGAGGGTTCAATCTCTTATTAGTTTACTTCTTTCCGCCTTCATGCTACTGGTTAGCTGTTGGTTTCAAAGTTCTAAGGTCTCTTGTAATTTTTGCAATTTCAGGTTGTTTCTCAATACAACAGCCTTGATGAGTACTCGAAGGTTGTTGATCCCTACATGGATATTGTTCTTCAGAATCAGATGGTAAGTTGTTTGAGTGACTTAACCTTAATGCTCTTATATTTTGAAGTTTGAATGCTACTCTGTGAATGCTGCATTTGTGGTCTGGGCAAATAATGCTGTGTTAGCTGACAATCTCCAAATTGCATGTAATTTTTTAAGGATAATTATCTGAACGTCATACTTGATGGTATTTTTGAGAGAGCATGCAATGAAGGGGTCACCAAAAATTCACTGGCAAGCTTGCAATCGATTCTTGTGAAGCTTCTTACTCATTTTAACAACTCAGATGTCATATTTGCACTGGTACGCATCTTGTGGAACTTTTCTATGGTTATATACTTTGAATTTTCTTCTTCTTCCTATTTACTGTCTTATTCCTCTTCTTTTTCCTGCTCCGTCAGTAGCTTGATTATAATATTTACTGGTTACAATAGATGAATAGCTTGTTTTCTATTTCAAGACTAACGATTTGAGACCAGAGTAAAATATTGATTGCTGACATTGGTGTATTTGTGATTTTTTAGAACCATTTCATTGAGATCTTAGATGTGATGCATGGGAGTTCAAGGAGCATTGTCAGTATTCACATTCTCAATATCGCAACGAGGTATGATTTGCTGTTTAAGTACTAAATCGTATTTAGGGTTTCGCAGTCATAAACGTTAATGTTCCAACTCACCACGAAACTCTTGCTTCAGTGACTAGACATTCTCACTTTATTGAAAAAGTTATGGCTTCTTGGTCCTTCCAGGTGCTATAATAGCTAGGTGTAACTGCCACCTTTGGGATGCATAGGCAATTGAGCTCTTGAGGCTTGGTGGATGGTCTAGATCATTGGGTCCTAACCACTCTGGCCAGCCATAGGACTTGTAAGACCCACTCAAGGAATTAAATTTCGTTTCGAAATGGTCGCAACTTCCAAAACGTCTGAAACGTTTCCGTTTCCATGGAAACTAAAATGAATCATTGATTGAATATCAAAATTTCTACGTTTGGAGTTCTTTCGGTGTGTTTCGACCAATGTTTCGGTGTTTCAAAAACAAATTTTTTCTTTGTTTCTGAAATATTTTTGAAACATTACTAAAACTTTTTCATTTCCAAGTTTGCCGAAACAATGCACCGAAACAAAATTTTGATCCTTGGACCCACAAGAAGTTATAAGAATCTAATTACTTACTGGTAGTTATCAAGGAGATTGAATTCATCCTGGATCCACATGATGGGATGATTCATACTGCTGGTTATTTGAATGTGCAGACTAGGTCATGTTATTTAGAATTTGTTAATCCAATTTGACATAGACTTTTATCATGTAAACTTATTATGGGAGGTCCACAACTTGGGTCCAACCCTCTGTTTCTGATGTTCACTTTGCACAATTTTCAAGTACGTTGGATGTCAAATAAGAATGCTTTTGGTAAAAAGGACCATGAATGAGTGTGTTATGTGACTCTAATTTAGAACATCTTGCATGGTTCCTTTCCCTTATATTTCAAGCAAAGGCACTAAACTATTGGCTTTTTCTTTGGAAAATCTTCATCTTGTTATTTAAAATCTTAAAATTAAGCCGTGATTCTTTTCCTGCTCTGCAATGTACCTGTCTGATGTTTTGTTTAATAGGCGGATGCAAGTAATCAGGGATATTATGAATGGCAATGGAAATGTATTTGTCAATTTTTTTCTCCGTTTTTGATAGGGGTAAGATTGTCAGTCACTTCCCTCTGTCTGAGAACGGGAGCCCACTGAGTCTTGTTTCTGTGGATATAGAAACTTGTTATTTTCCTCAAACGATTATTTATTATCTGGGCCATGCCTTGCCGATGGAGGCTTAGCTGTCTGTTCACTGCCTAGATCCCCAAAAAAGTCCGGATATTTTTTACTTTCAGGGAAATGTTATGGTTGATCTACCTATCACACATGCAGACTTGGTTTATGTACAAATTCCCTTGACAGATGCATTAACTGCTCTTAGAAGTTAGAACTTCATTAAATCAAAGGAAGCTATCATTTCTTAGCTATCTTTAGCTTCATGCTTAGGTTGCTTGGGAGCTGTGGACTCTTTTATTATCAATATTTGAAGTTCTGTGGTTGATCCCAAGGTCAGTGTGTTATTTGTTGGGATGCTGGAATAGGGGATGTGCTTGGAAGGGCATATAGAGGCTTTGGGAGTTGGCCCATTTGGGTGCAATGTGGTATACTTGGAAGTAAGTCAACGGTGGGCTTTTGAAGAAGCTGGTTCGACATTAAATAAGCTGGACCTGATAAATGATACTTTTCCCCAATTTTCTTCCTAAATCATTTTTGGTGTTGTCAAGTTTTTGGTACTTGTATGTTGATGGAGGGAGTTGTTTTGTACAACATTTGTTCTCATGGGCTGAGCCCCTGTTTTCTTTGTTACCCTTCACTCTATTACCTTTGCCTTAAAAAACTACTAATGCCATTTTGCTTTATTGAAGTATACTGCTTATTTTTATTTTGTTGAACAGGAATGGTTGCGTTCGTGACCCAACAACTATACAGTTGCTTTTTGAAGTTTCTCAGGTCTTGCATGATGGTATAGATTTCTCAAACTCGAGAAACAATGATAATCAGCAGCCGGCACATCTAATTTCTCAATTTGTACACATGGTATGTTATTTTTGGTCTCACACATCTTTTTTCCTTAGTAGAAGGTTCTGAGAGGCTGATTAATATGTTGAATGATTTTTTTAATCTTTTAATTGCTATAGCTGCTTATTACTGTCAGGTTGACTATGGGTCAGAGGTGGAACGCCATTTAACATTTCTGTTGGAATGCCGTGAAGCTTTTGGCAGCATCAGTGAGCTCAAGGTTTGGTGTTCTGTTTTTCAAATCAATGCATGAATAATTTCCATTAGTAATGTTTAATGTGGTTAAATAAAATTTCCATTCGTCAGTAGGATACAGAAGGGAAGGCATTGAAACATGGGACGTACCTTTTCCTTCAGGCCCAATTTTTCCTACCAAAGTGGGGATAAAGGGATGGAAAGAACTCCTCTTACCCCTTCTTTGTACACCTTTATCCTTCAAACAGCATTCCTATCTTTAAATTATGCAGCACCCTTTCTTGTTACCCTGTATTTAATCCTGCAGCAGCGATTTCTCTTTATCCTTCCTTTATATCATGCATTATCCTTTTCCTTTTTTCTGTACCAAACCAGCCTAAAGGACAAAATTATTTTTCATATCACGATTATACCTTTTCCATCCTTCCTACGTAGGTAGTAGGTAGTGTCAAGAAAAAAGAATTATAAGCATAAAAAATGTTTCCGATGTTTCTTTAATACAGACTGCATATGTACTTCCCACGTTCATATTGAGTTGTTACATTTGACTTGCAGGAGACCCTTATCCATTCCAGCAACCGATTAGCTATTAAAGCTATGAAAGAAGGGAAAAATCATTATAGTTTTGTCAGATCTTGCCTAGCATTTAGTGAAGTTACAATACCTTCCATTCAATCTCTCTTTATGCAGTTGAACCTTTATCTTGAGACTGCAGAGGTAGTGTACTGTTTAGTTCTATGTGCGATAAATTTATAGACATATCCATACTTACTATGTTATTCCTCACATCAGGTGGCCTTGTTGGGTGGCTTAGTTTCTCATTCAGATGGACTTATAGATTCCGCAATCATCTGCTTGCAAAATTTTGACGTAGTAGATGGTTAGTTCATTTCATTGGAACACTTGATGATACACATTCATAGTTGCTTCCAAATCATGTTAGTATATTCTTTATTATAGGAGGTGTTGGTCTTTACTAATCTGTTTAACAGATAAGTTTCTCATTTATTTGGTACAGATCATTTTTCATAGATTTTTATCAGCTTCTTGTGAAAGACTAGCCATCAATTATGATTTCTCAGAGGAGGTTGCAGGATTTTACTTGGAAATAAATAACGTCTATGTTGATTTCGTTGATGTCAACCTAACAAAATAGTTTTGTGTATACTAGAAAGTTTCCTTATGAATATAAAATCTAAGATAATTATTTCTTGAAATCCCAATGGTAACCATATGCTGTGCACTTTAATGGATTTGTATTTGCAACATGGCATGATATGGGAAGTCAAAAAAATCATATAGCTGAGAGATTTGATCTTGTGGACTATGCTTTAAATAAGGAGCAAAAAAAAGAAGGGTTGAAGTATCGATTAAGATATATGGGTGACACTAATACACAATCCACTACGATTAATTTGTCAGAGGATGATTATGAACCAGCTTCAGGGGTTTGGCTTCTATCATAACAGAAGCTAAAATGTATTATCCTCTTGCGTTGTTGACACAATCTTTCTGCGGGATGTGATAATATTTCCTTTTTCAACGATCTGTCACTCCAATGCATTTTACTTGGAAGTAGAAGATAGGGCAAATGAAAAAGGTCAACTGGTAAATGTTAAATGCTTTCTTCTATTTGTTTGCAAAGAGGAAGTGAAGAGATAATTGACTAAGGAAAATAACTGTCTTCATTTTATGCAATTACTTCTCTTGCTAGAATGTTGTCTCTGTCTTCCAGTTTTGACTTCTTTCCAAATAAAGTTTCTTTTGAAGTAAATATATGGTGGGTCAAGGGATTTGTCTTTTTCCTGTATTTCCTTATTTTTTTGCTCTCTGATTAATGAATTATATAGGAAGCAAGGGGACTAAATAATTTTTCCTTTTCTTTGCTTCTCTTACCACATGCTGTTGTAATGTTCAGGTGTAAATATTCCCATAAAAAAAAATTTCAGGTGTAAATATGAATGCTGAATCAGCTCAGTTGTTTGTGTAGGCTTGCAGATGCTTAGCAATGTTGATGGGATTCCCTCCTTAACACAAAAATTATGCAGCCTTGTGGTTTTGGTTCCAGGTATTAAAAAAAATTCTTGTCCATGCTCATTTTTGTTTGGCATTCATTTCATTAATACTCTTTTGAGGCTCCTGTTATTGAGCCTAAAAAGCTTTTTTCTTGATTAAAGAGCACCAGGTTTAATTCCTCTGTTAATTTTTGGGTGATATCCATTTGATGTTAGTTGCTAGGCTGTGCTTTATAATCCTTGTGTTCATGGGATGGGCCTCCATGTTGATATTGCCTCTTTTTATGAATACAATCTACTTAAATGAAAAACCAGAGAGGAATAGTATGCTTTTGAAATTTTATTATATGAAGCAAAACTGTTATTATATAATAATTAGTACAAAGTAATGGGCAAGAATTCCCCCTAAGGGAAAAATAGAAGAGGAAAATCCATAATCACTGAAAAATATGATGGCGACCGCATTTATTAAATAATTAAATCGTGCAAGTGTGTCATTTATGGTTATGTTATGAAGTCTTAACTTATAGCTATCTAAAGAAAAAGAATTTGGTGAATTTTTTTTATCAATTTATATTGTGAAAGATATGATGTGATCTATTTTTGCTGGGTATGGTATATCAATATTTTTAAGTGTTTAAAAGTAGATGTAATATTAATACATGGTGCCTTAATAGTGATCCTGAGTTGACAATCTAATTAACAGTTATTCGAAGCTGCTGACGTTACGAGTATGTTAGTTTTTCCAAGATGACCACGAAGCATATCTTCTTGTATGCTAAAATATGTCGACGTTTTCCATCTGTGCAACGTTTTACAGTGCTGTCAACCACTTATATGCTGAACCTAAAACACTTACCACAACTTCCATGGTGGTTGGCTCTTACAATGTCCAAAAGTGGTCAGTATTAATGTCTTATATGGTAGTAATTTGCTGGGTCCAGCAAACTCTCAACAAGGTAATCCTTAATATCTGCATTGGTTAAAATTGAAACCAAGAATTGTCCTTTTGTGACAAGCTTTATAACAGTGCACTCTCATGTTAACTATGTTGCCTGATGCCATAATCCCTTTTGTGTAGGTAATCCCGAACAAGGAATCACCCACATCTCAAAGAGCATAGTATCACTCCTTAACTGCAATTCATGGTGAGCCTTCCATCTCATCTTGTTCTGTAACTGGTGCATCAGTTGTGTGTACTTCGTTGATGTTTATTTCCAAATTACAGGGTGACAGCAAGAGTGAGGATAAGGGTATTATGTGCAATTGTATCATTGTCTGCAACTCTGTCTCAGAATGAGCTCCCTTACCATTCAATCCATAAAGAGGTACTGATGTTATGCTACCGAAGCTTTTCTAGTGGTTCTTGGAAATTAACTTCATTACCTGTCTGAAATTTAAAATGAAAATCCTGATAATTTTGAAATTTGGTTGAAAAGTTTAGAATTTCATTGTTCTTTTGAAAATAGTTCAAATGGCATAAAATTAGATTTCAGAGTTTTGTGAATGCTTTTGACTTCGCCTTCTTGAGGGGAATTTTATGGTCGCAAACTTCACTTCACCATAACCTGGAATTTGAACAGTTAATGATCCAGACCTGATAATTTCTCTATAAATCATGGGCACATGCAAGTGCACGTACCAGACCTGATAATTTCTCTATAAATCATGGGCACATGCATGTGCACATACCAGATCTGATAAGTTGTCTACATAAAATGGGCACATGCATGTGTGCACACTCACACATATGCACACATTGATTATGACTTGGTTTACTTGTGTACACTTTCTCCTACCTTTCCTTTGGTCAAAAAGTTGGCCAGCTCAATTAGTGGCCTATCCTATGACATCTTGCTTGAAGAGTTTCTCCTGGAAATATGTGGAACTTTTTGTGTGCGCGCGTATGAAGAAAAAGTTTAATAAACGGTGGCCATAGAGTCAATTTTCTATAACTAGTATCATCAAATAATTAGAATTTTCTTAATACCACAAATGTTGAGAAATAAAAAACAGAAAATACCGAAGAGTGAAAAGTTTTGTTATCATTAATAATGAGGGAGAACCCGGAGATGATATTGCTCATACAAGCAAGTTTGCTTAGGTGAAAAAGTGCTATCTACTCTTCACGGGACATAATGTTGTGCAATTAAGAAATACGATGTCCATAATAGAAGTAAATGTCCATAATAGAAGTAGAGCCATAAAAAGGATGTTAAGATAAGGAAAGATGGCATTAGAAATCATATAGTTCTGAGACAGTAGAGGTAGCATAGCACCAATTAAAGGTTGATTAAGATTTTTTGGGTATGTCTAGCGAAGACCAATTAGTGCATCAATGAAGAAAAGTGGCATCACCATTAAAAGAAATGCTCACGGAAGAGCACTGCCAAAATTAACAGAGCGAGGATGTATTTACGAAAGATATGACAGTTTTCATTTAGCGAGCACCTAGCTCTTGACAGAAAGCAATGGAAAAAGGCTTCGTGTAGCCGATTGCAGATTATTTGGACCTAAGGCTTGATTTGGTCTGTTTTTCAGTAAATTATCAACTTATAACTATCAGTACTTGCCTGCTGATGACTACTACTTTTTCATCATATTGATAAGAAAATATCTAGTCCAAGGTGCTGGTTTTACCAAAACATACCCGTTTGATAGCTGTTGGAAACTGTATATGTATAATCTGTTATACATCATGGTTTTTCATATATTTTTTTTCTTTACCTGTCCAGGTAATCGGCAATGATCATTTATTCTTTGGTGATCCAACCTATTTGCAAGAATTTCTGTCTTTGTCTAGTAGTATTATTCAGAACATTTTTGATGTTATTTTACAAGAGCCTTCTCAGGTAACTTCGGCTTTCTTTGAGTTATGGTTGTCAACTTGATTGACTGATCTCCATCTTGCTGACTTTAAATGCTGCCTTTAAGGCTTCTCGTGGAACTATGGCGCTTGAAGCTTGCAACTGTATTGCATCATCTTTCAAAGTAAGTTACGGTAATTTCAGTGATTTTGTTGTATTTACCGACATAGCTGGATGAATTAAAAGTTTATAGTTTTTGAATTATGATGTATATTCGCATTAAAAGAATACTAATGCAAAGGGGGGAAAAAAAAGAAGGGAGAGGTTAACAGTTGCTTTAGATGGTGAAAAACACTGAGACGCGTATATCCCGATGCAAAGAATTAGAAGAGCTGTTTATTTATTTATGCCTCCAGATTTGAATTCGACAAAGATTCTTACCTGTGTGAAAAAAACTTTTTCCTTACCACCCTTTTGCAAAGGCCCCGTTTTCTCCATAGGTAGTTGTACCTAGAGATGCATAGCTCTCCCGTAGCCCACTTCTGCTGGGACTGTACGTACATACATAAATAATAACATTAATATTTATTGTGGTTTTTTTTTTCCTGCTCTGGGAAGCCCATACTCATGCAAGTACTAATGCCTAAACAATCATCTGTGGTTTCAAGTTACATGTCGAATGTAATTTTTTCCCATAAACTACATTTTATTTCATCGTTCTTGCTATATGTTATCTTTGTTGGTAGCAACTCCGCTAAAGAAACATTAATGCTTGCTTGAGATGAAGCTTAGTACTTGTGGCCAAAGTTTCTATTGCCCATTAACAACTTGCAAGAAGATTGCATCCTGTTGATTTCCATGCTAATCATGAAATTCTTAACTTTTTTGACTTTCCTTTTCGCAAATGCTCTGCATTATACATTGATATCAAACTAAAGCTGTTATGTTTCCCTTCCTGCTGTACTTACCGGACAGCTGAGTGGTGATATATTAGCAGTTTGCTCGAGACTGATGGAAACTGCCAAGGTATGTTTGAGTGCTAATGACAGATATCTGCTGTCCACCATGAAATTCTTTGATAGACAACGACAGCTTTTCCTAAGGCAGAATCATGAATAAGCTGAAAGATGGACGCAAGGGCAGGAATTGAGATACTTTCGACGGATTATTAATTGCTTGAGAAGTGCTCATTGTATTTTCTGATTCTTTCATGGATTTGGAATAACCCACAAAACTTGAACAGAAAGTGCATAGTATTAGTATAGGTAATTAGGTATAGATATGTCTTTCATTCGAAGCTGTATACATGTTCCATACGGGAGGCTCAGTCAATGTACGTTCATTACAGTACTTGCAAAGATGCACATATGACGTTAAAATGCGTGAATAAAAGTTAAAAAATGCATGGTTGAATATCATTGCAGAAGCGGGTCGGTTTATTATTTGGCCAACCAACCAAACCCAAGGTGTTAATTGGGCCGAACTTGAGCTTTACAAGCCCAGGCCAAATTTTTTAGTCTCGTTCATAAAAAATGGCCTTAAAAATAGTCTAAGTTCACTTTGTTTAAAATATGAGTTAGAGTTTGATCCGAGCCTTATTCGAACCGAGTCTGATTAGTTTGTCTCGATTAATACCTTTATTTTGTATGAAATTGTACCTCTATGTATGAGGTGGGTTGTCAAGTAACTATATTTGGTTTGGAGCTATGGAAGCTGTATGTATGATGAAAAGAAAGAAGGGAAGAATACGAACCAAGACTAGTGAAAATTGCCGTGGTCACGACCATTGATATGATCAAATAGGAAGACACCATTTGAATGTATCAACCACAGGAAAACCAAGATTTGAAAAAAGGTCTGTTTACATTAGATTTTAATCTAAATTTAAACCCCCGATTTAGGTCCAACTTGTTCAAATATTTTGATTAAATAATTATAATCCGAATCGGTTGTATGATATTTCACATATTCAAATTTAAATATATCATTTTTTAATCTAATTATTATCCATTAGACACAAATTTATATAAAATCAAAAAAAAAAATTATTTTGAATTCAAATTGAGAAAGACTCAAATCCTATATCAAATTTGTGATGATAACTTTTTTCATATCTAAACCTAAAAAACTCTTTCAACAGAATAAGTTCTTGCCTCTATCTTCAAAATCGTTGCTATCGTCGCTGACCCCACTGTCTTTCCTTGCCTCTATTTTTCGACGACAACTTTGCTCTCTCTCTCTCTCATACTTGATAAAAAAACTCACGAATCTACTATTCAAAGTAGTTGATATTTTTATTTTTATTTTGACTAATATTAATGAAATTTGTAAGAAATATTTATAAATAAAGTATAATGAAATTTGAATTTTGGAGATAAAGGGAGGTCCAAATTGTTTTGAGACAAAACATAAACAAATCCAACGAACAACGGAATCCCAACATAAAAAATGGTTCAGATCTTCTCAAAAATTTTGATCTAACAGTGTACAGTGATTATTGAATTTTATTTTCCTGCTCAATAACATTTCTTTTTTTAATTTTGTTTACGTAATCTTAATTGATGTTTGAATTTTTTTTCTATTCAAAAAATTGAGTAAGTCTTTTATCCCATATACAACTCTAAACTTCTATTGCTTATGTACCCCTCTCTCGCTCTCCCACCCACAATCTCCTCTCTCATCACGCCTCTTCTTTTCTCTCTCTCTCTCTCTCTCTATGTAGAAAACACAAGAAAACAAAAATACTCACGAATGCGCTCAAAAAAGGTATCTCTTTTCTCTCTCTCTCTCTCTCTCTCTCAAAATTTAACCTCTCACCCGAAAGCCCCTCCCCATCCTAGAATTGTTGAGTGGTAAAAACCCAAACATGCGAGGCAGACTAGAAACTGGAGCACTTTCGGTATTTTTCACAAGCGAAGTCAATGCATTAACAAAAGCAAAGGGCACACAGTCAAGAATCCCTTGGTTCCATTTGTTGTCCAAGAGAATTGTCTCCCTGGACGAAGCTAGAAGAAAATCTGCCTGAATTATGAAGGGAAAGTTCGTCATCATCTCTGTTTTTGTTGTCTCTTTTGATGTAGAAGTGAAAGAAAACGACAGATCTCATGTTTATCCTTACTATTTTCTGTTCTGCTTTTCTCTCTATCTGCATGTGTTTAGTTTTTTTGTGGCTATTAATTTTCTTTCCGCTTTATTGCTTACACCTGGCATCGTTGTCATGCATGCTATACTTATTAATATTGTCATCACAATTGAAATTATTTTATACTGAGCTTTGGATTTAAATTGCAAGACCTGAACTCAATTATTTCTTCTAACATAATTCATTTTATTTTTCAGGGTATGAGAGTAAAGTAGCTCGGTGAATGAAGTCAATCTTGACTCATCAGGTTTGGTTTAGTTGTACTGTTAGGTATATAAGTAATGGTTAGTTTTATTTCATTTCCCTGATTTTGTATATGCTTTGGATAATTATGCATATACTATTCTGCTTGGCATGGAGGCAAATCGGTGTCCCAATTTGCATTTCATTATGGTGCTAATGTAGATTTTTTGTGCTTTGTCTGTCCTTGATGCACTTCTCTGTTGAGCGGAATGAACAAAATCGATGTGCTATCCCTAGCATCATCACCATATCATAATTTTTAAGCCCATGTGCTGGCTGTTATCCTAGGTTTACCATATGCTGCAACTTGAAGATGTGATAGCAACAACAAAATAGTTTTGTTTGCCCAAAACTTGCTGTGTTATTTTGCTGACTCATTATTTAATTTTTTCTCTTCAAATCCTGCTTAACAAAAGAGAATGTAATTGCTTATGAATTTTGTAGGGTATTTTGCAAATCTTACCATAAACTAGAACTTGCTTGGCCTATTTTATTCTATTCTGCTAGCTTTTTTTTTTTGGGGACAGTGACATTGGTGTGGAGCTTGCTATCCTGTCCATAAAAGTTTGTTACAGGTTTTCTGATTTTTTTGGCAATTCATGTCCCCTTTATTTAGTGGGATCAACATATGGACTAGCAAAGAAAACAAAATCAGCTACTATATCTCTTTCATCAGGTTATTTGTGTGGGTTGTCTTATCCTTTCTTAATCATGAGCCTTTTAGTCAAATTAAATGAGTTGATTCTCAAATAATTCTCAAAATATAAATCGCGTGCTTTGGTCTGCACTATGTAATATTATAGGAAAATGAATATTTGTAACATGTGATCTTTGTTATCAATGACTAACATCAGTTTAAAATTTATAAAGTTTTATTTGTCCATGAAATAACTTTAAGCATATTTATGAAGTAAAAACAGTTGTATTTATCCTTTTAGCATGTGCATATATTTAAGGGCTATGGTTGAATTTTTCTTTGCATGTTTCGTATGTGATTAGATTAGAATTGTTTTATCTTTATATTAAAATAAAAAGAGAAAACCAAGCCTCTGCAAAAATTTATAATTTCCATTTTTTTTGTCATTTAATACTTTCAGACACGGGTAATTACTAGTACTTTAATATTGTCGAGTCTTTTTCTTTTTCTTTCTTTTCTTTTCTGTTTTACAATTAGTTGTACAATTTGAATACATATGATAAGACTTTGCTGTTTTAATTTTTTGAGTTTTATTATCTGAGTTGCGATTTAAATAAATAATTAAATAGTTTCTGCCTATTGTTCAGATCTTTTGAGAATTATGAAAAATTAATTTTAGATTAATGATTGTGATCCATTCCCCTCCCCTTGATCAAAACACAAACTACGCACACAATTCCATCTCTCTTACCCTTGTCATCTAATCAAAGTCACAGTAAAATGATAGTGTAAAGCTATAGACAAATCAATCACTACATGCCAATTAATTTAAATTTTTAAATTTGATAAAATGATGAGGGTATGAAATTTTAGAGACAAAGAACGAGTCCTAAGAAAAGAGGTTTCGAAGGGAATAAAAGAGAAGAACAAGAGGGGGTAAAATATTTTAGTAGAAAAAAATTTAAAAAACCAGAGTTAGGACGGTAAGAATTTTTTTTTAAAATTTGAGTAGAAAATAAGTCAAAGTTGAATAATTTGACTATTTTATATATAAATAAATCGAGAAATTAATTTTTTAAATGAGTTTAAAAAATTGTCCAAGCTCGACTAATTTGAATTGAACGTAAACCAATCGGTTATTTTGAAAAAAAAATTATTTTTATTTGTTTTAATTAAAAAAATTGAAATAAAATATAATAGAATTGTTGGTGGATGTTGAATGAGTGTATTTGAGATTCGATAAATTTATTTAAGTTTGTAGAACTAACCCTTTTTTTTTTTTTTTTTATTAACGAATTAGGAAGCCAGATTCGGATCGGATCCGTTTTGAGTTGAACTCCCACGCCCTCGTCATCTCTAAATAGTAAATACTGTGTCCTCCATCCGGCCCTTCTTCCGTGTAAACTCTCTCTCTCTCTCTCTCTCTCTCTCTCTCTCTCTCTTCCGTTTCTGTGAGCGCCATACAGGCGCATACACAAACCTAGGGTTTCAATCTCTTAAGCGGTCAATCATCTCTTTGTATTCGAAAGGACGGTCAATTCATCTCGCAGCAATGGATCTAGAGGTTGTGGACGCCACGCTCTCCTCTTCGACGATGACTCGACGGCGGCGTTCGTCAACTCCGGCGACGCTCTGGTCGAGTGGAACTCGCTCCAAATCGACCGCTACGACGTCCGACACCTCCTCTCCTCCCCTCTGCCGCCCAGGCGGCGCCGGAACCCCCACAGCCTTCTCCTCGGAGTCTTCACTTGAAACCGAGCTCGATCACGAACGATACCTCGATCTACCACAACCATCCGATGAACAAGGTAAAATAACTGATTAGCCTTTGATATTGCTTTTCCCTCGATTTTATTATTGTTTGTTGTTTTCATTTAATTGTATAGTTGGCTATAATAAGTAGGTATTTTATTTATGACTTTGCTTATCACGTTTTTTGGACGGATAAAATTTTACATGAAAGTTAACTTAGTCTGAGGGAAGATGTGAAAAATGAAAAACGAAAGCAATGTTGAGGTGGAAGAGGAATTATTCAAAGATATGAATCGAGATGCAGTTTGTCGATTTGTTTTCTTAATCGTAGAGGAGATTTTTCCTGTTTGCTTGGTGAGATACGGAATGATGGGCATAATTATGGCAATATTAAGAGTATTGGAATGCATAAACTATGGTGTCCGCATATAGCTTTGATTAGCAGTGTTGAATTAGTTGGATTAAGGTCTTGAAAACTGGTTTAGACCGATTGGTTTTGCCCCGCAATAAATTTGTACATATGCAAGGAGCTGGAGCTTTTGAAGTTTTTGGTTACCTTTTGTCTTGAGGGAGCATTTCATTTCTGTGTCCAATTGTTGGGGCAATGATTACTGATTAGTTATGATTTGATCTGGTTGTGTGGTTGCAATGGTTCCCCATTTGGATGGTATCAATATAACAATGATTGAATAAGAGAGACATTGTGTTTGGAGGGGAAAGAGTCCTAGGTGAACTGTGAAGTCTCTTTTTAATGCAGGGGTACTTGTAAAAAAGGGACTTGGGATTCTAGAGAGTTGCATAAGTCATTTTCTTCTTTGTTTTCCCTTCTTTTTTTTTTCACTATGTTTCCAAGTCTGCAGGACTATATTTAGCTTGTGCTATTGCAGCTTCGGGTCAAAAGTAAGATTTTCTATCCTTCCTCTGGCTTTCTTCTTTTGATTGCTTTTTATCTCTAGAGTGATTGTTTAATTGTTACAAGCACAGCACTACTTGTTAAGAGACCCATG